TTGTAATGATGCAATAATAAAGGGAAAATTTATGTGAATTAGGAGAGTTCACTGAGTGCCAATATTTTTCTTAATAGGCCTAATTCAGTTGTGTTGTGATTGGTTTTGCTCTTGTGCCCAATGACCTCACGATGGATGTATTTTACAAATGCAATTAAGGGACACAATTGAGGAATACTATTTAAAAGTTATTATCTACCAAGGGGATACACAAAACCATGTCTACTATGGCACTTCTCTCATCATGTCACTTTTCTTGTTGGTTATATAAGCAGCAAATGCCTGTACTTTATAAGTTATAATTACAATACAAAGTAGAAAAAGCAATAACATAATACTTTTGGGCAGAGCCTTTTTTAAAGTCCAGCAACTTTATTTTTATTTTTTCAACGTTTATTTATTTTTGGGACAGAGAGAGACAGAGCATGAACGGGGGAGGGGCAGAGAGAGAGGGAGACACAGAATTGGAAGCAGGCTCCAGGCTCTGAGCCATCAGCCCAGAGCCCGATGCGGGGCTCGAACTCACGGACCGCGAGATCGTGACCTGGCTGAAGTCGGACGCTTAACCGACTGAGCCACCCAGGCGCCCCTAAAGTCCAGCAACTTTATTAGTGGGATTCAGTTCTCCAGGTTTGAAATACTTGTATTTCAAATATTAAAGGAAGAAATCTATAGTAAGGTCATTTCAGACTCTTGAGCCCTCTCTCCATTAGAAATGGTCTGTTCATATACAACAAAGAGGACAAGCCTGAATTGTAGCAACTCTTGAATTTGCTAAAAAAGGATCTGAAGAAAATTACACAATCATCATTTATTGTGAGTTTATAAGGTCTCCCACACTGTGAAGAATACACAGAAATAGAAGGCATGGCTTCTACTTGCAGGTTGCTTATAATTCAGGTAAAGAAATGCTACTAAAGCTTTTGGATGAATTAAAGAATGACACATGTCAGCATTCAGAAATATGTGGTAGACTGTGAAAGGGGGGAAAGGCCATTGTGATTAGAATAGACAATGTTTTATGGATTAGGTGAGTTTTAAGATGGATTTTTGGAACGTATATAAGACTTAGGGGGAGAAAAAAGAAGAAGCTATTTCTATCTGAGAGAATTGCACAAGTTGTAAATTTAGTTCTGTTCAAAAAACATTAATTAAGTGCCTCTGTGCCAAGCACTATACTGGGTGCTGAAGATTACAGCATGCTTAGGAACTCTTTCGTACCCTGTTGCTAAAGTATTTTCACGTATCCTAAAAAGGTGAATCTCTCTCTTGTGAGGAAGTAAATCCCGTGGAGGAATTCTCATGACAGAAGTCCCTTTTCCTTGGTGATATAAAATGGGAGTGGTTTTTATTTTCAAAATACAGGATAATCTCTAGAAGTAATTGGAAAGCTTAACTTAAAATGGAAAGCTTAACTCAGCTTCATCACTGACTTCCTATCTGGCATAGTTTCAGATGCTCACCTGTGTTTGATACCTAAAGGGCCATATATAGACTGTCAACTAAGGTATTATTTGATAATAAATTGTTGCATTTTAGTAATAATAATAATAGTTATACTTGTCAGTCACTATGCAAATTGCTTTATATATATCATCCCATATAATCATAACTATCTATGAGTTTTACTTAATATTGTGTCTTCCCTGATTAAAATGAGTGAACTGAAGCTTGGGTTTCAGTGCATGTCCATGGCCACACAGTCATTGGCAAGGGTGTGAATGACTCCAAACTCTGTGCTCCTAAACATTGTGTTATTCTGCTTTTTAATAGGGGTTCTTAAAGTTCCAAGGAAAGGAGTGTATAGTGAGAGAAGGAGTGGTCAAGGCATTAATATTCATATTTCTAGACAGGACACTTGCCAGCAATGTAAGCAATCTCATTCCACCAAGTAGGAAGGTTGGCAATTTTTAAAAGGCTGGCAAGCCAAGTTTTAAAAGGTTGGCAAGAGGCTAAGTACAATAGTGTGTGGAACAAAATTATTGTAATATCACAGTACAGTCAATGGGGTGCCTGGGTGGCTTAGTTGGTTGAACAGCAGGCTCTTGATTTAGGCTCAGGTTATGATCTCACAGTTCATGAGATAGAGCCCCGTGTCTGGCTCCATGCTGACAGCGTGGAACCTGCTTGGGATTCTCTCTCTCTTCTCTTCTCTCTGCCCCTCCCCCATTCACATGCACACTGTCTCTCAAAATAAATAAATAAACTTTAAAAAATATATAGTACAATCTCTTTAGTACAATGTCTTTGAAAAGGTGTCTGATTTGTGTTGGTTATCTGTTTGCCTTCCCAATCACTGAGGGAGTAAATACTAGTTGAAGCTTATGATCCTGACAGATCAAAATGGACAACCTGGCAGGTGTCCTTGCTGAAAGATGACAAAATTGCTAAAGGGCAAGCCCCGTTTTTTTGTGTTTTTTTTTCTCTAGAGATGTGACACTTGGGGGCTTCCATTAAAAACTTCACCAAGCGTTGTCATTTTAATCTCTTCCTTAAGTGCCTTTGATCTTTTTAGGGGCACAGATCCATGCATGGTCAATACCCAGTGGCCAGGTTTCTGAGCTGTGGGCAAAGGTGGCAGTGACTGTCAGGGCCTGGGAGGAGATGAGAGAAGAAAAGGTCACTCCTCCTGACAACTTATAACTTGACTCCACTTAGAAGCCATTTATTTTCAGAAATAAGTAATGGGTGAAGACATAGGCCAGGCCTACAACTCATGCACTTGAGAGTTTAAGGCTTTCTGAGATCAAATTACCACAGCAAACAGAGATAGAATTATTGTAGGGACATTTGGGGAGGAAGCAGACAGAGAGGGAGAAGTGAGAGACCTAAGAAAGGAGACAGGAATAGAATGTGATGGAAATTACTTCCCACTCTGCACCCTTGAGGGAACAAAGAGGACAAATAAGAAGCAGCAGTGATAGGAGGAGTCTGGGAGCATCTCTGGAATAAAATTGGTTAGGTTATGGAGTGTTGTCAGCAAGTTCACTTAGTGGGTGGAAGGGAGGGATGTGCTAGTCCAGGCCTTTGAAATCTGGCAGGATCATTGCCTTGGGCCCTTCACCTAAGCCCTCAAGGCAGGAAGAATACCAACTGTCAGGTCTCATTTTGGCGTTGTTCCAGCTCAGGGCTAGAAAATGACCCACAGAGGAAAATCTAGGAGTGAGAAGGTGCTAGGAGATGAGAAAGGGAAAGGACTTTTTAGTGAGTGTTTTTTGCATGTGGGACAATGGATTTTTTTTTTTTTGAGATTCTTTTTTAAAATGTTTATTTTGAGAGAGAGAGTGCGCGCACATGCGCACCCATGGAGGAGGGGCAGAGAGGGCTGGGAGAGAGAATCCTAAGTAGGCTCCTTGCTCAGCACTGAGCCCAATGCTCGGATGCTTACCCGACTGAGCCAACGAGGCACCCCAACAATGGATTTTAAATTTCTGTGGAAGAGATGAGAGGGCCTGGGAAGAGTGGATATCTGGAACAGAGAAGCAGAGGCAGTGACACAGCATGGAGATGCTTCCTCTGATCCATTTGCCTTTTAGTTCACTGGAGAGAAAATCGGTCGTCTTTTTGTTATCTCTGTAGCAATACAAGATTGAGTCTTAGGGGAAAGGAGCCCCAGAGGTGTAAAGGAGCCTCATATTTATGGAAGGTGAGCTGCAGCCATCGAAACTGCTGGCTGTTGTTAAGACAAATGCCAGCCTCCCACATTTTGCCTAATAACAGCAGATTTTTCACTGCAAAGCATTAATGGCATCCGAATTCCAGCCGGGCTTGGGAGATGAAGAGTAACGCTCTTGACGTAATGGTTTTGCAGGCTCTTGAAGACATTGTCATCTATTAGAGAAATATTTTAAACCACTCATGAAGGAACAAAGAAAATTTCTTGGATGATAAATGAAAAAAGATTTGGAGTAAAATGAGGAAAAGCTTGAGAGAAGAATTTCTTTAAAATTTTACCATATTTCCCCACTATGATCAAAAGAGGTCAAATAAGAGCTTAGCCTGTAGCTTCGTGGAGCCAATTTTTAAAAGAGAATTTTAAAACTTCAAATATTGGTTATTTGCCAAGATACACACTTGAAAAGCAAGCGCTACTTGGCTCCTAGCAGAACTGAGTATTGAGATCCCAGGATGTTTTTGGCTTGCTCCGCAGAAGAGGACAGCATTTGTCCTCCCCCTCCCTTTGCCCCAGGAGTTGAACACTTTCTGTTCTATTTAGGAGTATTCTAGGGAAAATTTGGGGGGCAGGTAAATAATCTCCATCATCAGCAACCCCAGAGCGCCTCCCTTGCGTTCGTTTCTTTTGACTGTGGGGCCGCCGCCCAGGTGCCCATACTTAGCTAAGGTCCTGAGTTTATTTTCCTGAATTGCGGTTGGAAATCTTTTCCTGGGAAGGTCGGATAGCCCAGGTCCTAGAGACACAACTGTCTGTCCTAGAATAATATCCTTACAAGACCCGTTAAACAGCCGAGGTACCGTGGAGACTGGCTGAACCGGGGGATGGGGGCAGGGAGAAAGGGAGTGGCCGTGTTCCCGCGGTCTGCCGGGATCCCGCGTGTCCAGGGTGAAGGAGCCGGGGCTAGAGTGGCTGGGGCGACCGATCACTCTCGGTTGCCGTCTGCCACCTCGGTGCGGAATCGGAGCCGGACTTGCTGAGCACTCCTCCCCCTCCCGTTCTGCTTCCTTTTCCCTCCCCCCTGGAGCGGCGGCGGCGGCGGCGGCAGCGGCAGGCAAGCAGGCAGGCTTGCAGCGAAGCCAGGCGGAGCGACTCCCAGGCGAGCGGAGGAGCTGGGATATGGGGAGTCAGCGGGGGCGGCGGGGCCAGGAGCCCTCCGGAGGGCCTACGAGAGGAGCGGCCCCCGGCGTTTGCTAGCGCGTGAGCGGTGGGGGAGCGGGCGCAGGGCAGCACGAGCAGAGGCGGAGGCGGGGCCCGGGCGTGGAGCGCGGCTGGGAAAGCTGCTGCCTCCGGCCCTGCCCGGCTACCTCCGCCGCGGCCGGTGGCTATGGAGCTGGCGGGCACCAGACCTGGGGCGACAGAGCATCTACGACTCCGGCCGCCCATGTCCTGGCTGCTGCTGCTGCCTCTCCTGCTGCTACTGCTGCTGCCGGGCCCAGCGGCCTCCCAGCTACGATACTCGGTGCCGGAGGAACAGGCACCCGGCGCGCTTGTGGGCAACGTGGCTAACGCGCTGGGGCTGGAGCTGCGGCGTTTGGGGCCGGGCTGCCTGCGCATCAACCATCTGGGTGCGCCCAGTCCGCGCTACCTGGAGCTGGACCTGACAAGTGGAGCGCTCTTCGTCAACGAGCGCATTGACCGGGAGGCGCTGTGTGAGCAGCGGCCTCGCTGCCTGCTCAGCTTGGAAGTGCTGGCGCACAGCCCCGTGGCGGTGAGTGCCGTAGAGGTGGAGGTACTGGACATCAACGACAATTCGCCGCGCTTCCCGCGGCCGGATTATCAGCTTCAGGTAAGCGAATCGGTGGCTCCTGGAGCGCGCTTTCACATTGAGAGCGCGCAGGACCCCGACGTGGGCGCCAACTCGGTGCAGACTTACGAGCTCAGCCCCAGCGAGCACTTCGAGCTGGACCTTAAACCCCTGCAGGAGAACAGTAAGGTGCTGGAGCTGGTGCTGCGGAAGGGCCTGGACCGCGAGCAGGCAGTCTTGCACCACCTGGTTCTCACAGCTGTGGACGGAGGCAGCCCAGCCCGCTCGGGCACGGCACAGATCTCGGTGCGTGTCCTGGACACTAACGACAATTCTCCCACCTTCGACCAGAACACTTACCGTGTCCAGCTTCGGGAGGACGCTCCTCCGGGCACATTGGTGGTGAAGCTGAATGCCTCGGACCCGGATGAGGGCTCCAATGGCGAGCTCAGATACTCATTGAGCAGCTACACGTCGGACCGGGAGAGGCAGCTCTTCAGCATCGATGCCAGCACTGGGGAAGTGCGGGTAAGTGGAGCACTGGATTATGAGGAGGCCTCTTCCTACCAGATCTATGTGCAGGCTACTGATCAGGGTCCAGTGCCCATGGTGGGTCACTGCAAGGTACTGGTGGACATCGTGGATGTGAATGATAATGCACCAGAGGTGGTACTCACGGACCTGTACAGCCCAGTGCCTGAGGATGCTGCATCGAATACTGTTGTGGCCCTTCTCAGTGTCAATGACCAAGACTCAGGCCCCAACCGGAAAGTGAGCCTGGGCCTGGAGGCCTCACTCCCTTTCCGGCTGAATGGCTTTGGAAACTCCTACACACTGGTGGTGAATGGTCCGCTGGACAGGGAGCGGGTAGCTGCCTACAACATCACAGTGACAGCCACTGATGGGGGAGTGCCACAGCTCACATCCCAGCGGACACTGCAGGTTGAGATCTCTGACATCAATGACAACCCACCAAGCTTCCTAAAAGACTCCTACAACATCTACATCCAGGAGAACAATTTGCCGGGGGTGTTGCTCTGCACTGTGCAAGCCACAGACCCAGATGAAAAGGAGAATGCAGAGGTGACCTACTCCCTCCTGGAGAAGGAGGTTCAAGGGCTGCCAGTCACCTCCTATGTCTCCGTTAACAGTGCCAGTGGCAGCCTTTATGCTGTCAACTCCTTTGACTATGAGAAGTTTCGGGAGTTCTTTGTGACTGTGGAGGCCCAGGACAAGGGGAGTCCACCGCTGAGCAGCACTGTGACCGCCAATGTGTATGTGGTGGACATGAATGACCATGCCCCTCACATCCTATACCCTACCTCAACTAATTCGTCAGCAGCCATTGAGATGGTGCCTCGAACTGCCCCTGCTGGCTATCTGGTCACCAAAGTCATAGCCATGGACTCAGACTCTGGGCAGAATGCTTGGCTCTTTTACCACCTGGCTCAGACTTCTGACCTGGACCTCTTTAAAGTAGAGCTACACACAGGAGAAATTAGGACTACCAGGAAGATGGGAGATGAGAGTGGAACCACTTTCAACCTGACCGTGGTGGTCCGAGACAATGGAGAGCCATCACTGTCAGCCTCTGTGGCCATTACAGTAGCTGTGGTGGATAGGGTTTCCAAAATCCTCCCTGATACTCAGAGACACGTGAAGGGTCCTCGGACATACTCTGAAATTACACTTTATCTAATAATAGCATTAAGCACAGTGTCTTTTATATTTCTTTTGACAATCATTGTTTTGAGCATCATCAAGTGCTACCACTATACTGCATATGGAACCGCGTGCTGTGGGGGCTTCTGTGGAGTGAGGGAGCGGTGCCCTGCTGAACTAAACAAACAGGCCAATAACAATATTGATGCCAGGTTACCGCACGGCCTCAAAGTGCAGCCTCACTTCATTGAAGTGCGAGGGAACGGCTCCCTCACCAAGACCTACTGCTACAAGGCCTGTCTGACAGCAGGCTCAGGGAGTGACACTTTCATGTTTTATAACACAGGGGCACAGACAGGACTGGGGCCTGGGGGAGCCCAGGCGGCAGCGAGTGACAGCAGGCACCTCACAGGCCAAAGTGGGCAGAGTGCCGGGAACCTGATCATTCTCAAAAATGATGCCATTCCTCAAAACGAGGTGAGATAGCAGTCAAGGGGTTCTTCCACAGTCGTGCATTTTCACACACACCCTCCCTCCACCAATATCGTGCGCTCTACTGAGTTATTAACATTGACAGGAGTTATCTGGTAAACTGAGGATTCATAGTACCTGTGACTTGATATTAATCTGCTCTGTTTCTCCTCTAGAAAAATAGTATCAGAATTGCTTTACTTTATTTTCTTTTTGGATATAGGAGGCCTTACCCATAACATTGTTAGAGAAATAAGAATTAGTCTTAAATGTTTGATGCTAAAACACAGCTCTGCAGAGGTATGGAACAGGCTTGAGAATAAGATGATGCCATAGTGGGTAATATTTTGAGATTCAGGGACAAATGGCCTCTGCTGTATCATCTATAGGGAAAGTTCTCTTTTGAAATGCTACAGGAGTGTTGGTTTTTAAAAAGCTCTGAGACCCTAGGGGTTGTGGTGGTCACCTCTGCATGCTGTCCTTGTTTGTATCTTGAAAATTATGCAGTTAATATTTCCAGTAATTACACTGAACTAATGTGGTAGGACCTTCTGGAAATTCATGTCAGAGGTGACAAAGCCCTAGACTGTGGATCTCACCCTGAAGCCAAAGTTTGCTTCTTTGGCTGTTTGATGCTGTAATTCTTCTGTAGGTGCTGTCAGAGGAGATGAAGGATGGTAGGGCAAAGAGACCAAGGACCAATTTGTCTGGTTGGGCCAAGGAGATATTAGAACAAGTGGATTAGGGATGTGGGGATGTGGTGAATACCAGGACAAGCTGGAACTGGAGAGAAAGAGAAGGAGAAAAGGACTTTTCGTTAGTTACCTTTCTGGCATAGCGGGTGTTCATCATAAGGTGATTTCCCTGCATTAAATTAAATGTAGTCTGTAATCTTCTGATTTCCTGTTGGCAATTTGTAAAGTTTTAATGATATGTGAAGTAGCCTCTCAAGCCCTTTATGTCTTTAAGTTAAATGACAATACTTCCAACAATACTCCAACGTGTTCCAAAGCACATGTTCATTTTCTAAATCTAAATTTTAGTTTGTGATAGCTAGAAAAGCCTTGTAAAGTGGATGGCTTGCTGTGCATGAAGGACAGGTGTTAGTAAATACACTGGTTTTAAGTAAGCATAAGGCCAGCTTGCTCATTATTATGAAGACTGCGTATAAATTATTGGACAGTGCATGAATGTGCGGATGTGTTTGTGTAGTGTGTCGCTGTATGCAAACTTGAAAACAGTGGTTTGCTTTGTGATACTTTAAAGTTGTATTTCAGGGGCCCCTGGGTAGCACGGTCAGTTAAATGTCCAACTCTTAGCCCTGCATTGGACTCCACGCAGGCCGTGGAACCTACTTAAAAAAAAAAAATTGTATTTCAGAAGCCAAATTTTTGTTTCATCAATAGTGATGACCTGTTATCTTCCCAAACAACTACTTTGTAGCGAGGACTTTTAGAGGTACTATAAAAGGCATTAATAATTGTCCCTCCTATATTTTTGTGATGTATTTTCATTGACATTTTGCTGTCTTTTTATTAATGTCCCTAGTTTCACATCCTAATTCATGCTAATCTTGAGGAAAGTAATGCTTAAATACAGAAAAAAAAAAAGATGGATTGAGAGAATTTCCCATGTACCTTGAGATGTATCAGAAAAGCCTGATAAATTTTAGTTGATACATAGCAGCCACAGGAGGCAGAAGGCAGATTAAGAAATACAAGGGGACACAATCAAGGCGTTTCTAGAATTCTTTAGATCATAGCTTTTGGAAGCATGTAAAAAGGCCTAGCTTTAAGTAAGGATGCTGTAGACCTTTGCTTAACAAATTCTTGTGAAGACCTTTTGGGCCTGGGTGGGCTGCAGATGGTGAAGAGGCTGGGAGAGCAGGCCAGACAAGCTTGCCACCAACTGGGAGCTGGAAGCTCCCAAAGGACACTCTACCATCGTTCTCCTGGCTCAGAGCTTGGGGCAGTTTGACACATGAACTATTTCTGTCTTACACTGACCTGTGTGTTAATGCATGTTTTGGTACACAAATCTTTAATTGAGGAAAAAATTATGTCAGAAAAGTGCTTGCTCTTGTGGGATTTTTCCAGGAGAATGCATGATTTGAATAAAAGCAAATTTCTGCCAGCCACTTTCAGGAATCCAGTAGAGAGCCCTAAGATCTATAGCTCCTGACATTATTACAGTTAAGAGGAGAGAGAGAGTCAGGTCAGCATGGCAAAATGGGAACAAAATCAGTCAACTCTGAAAGTCATGACCACTAGATCAACCTGTTAAATTCCCATGTTAGGCTTTCTCTTTTCCCTACCCAGTTACTGCAGATGGCATAAGAGTCCTGAGGTGCACTTCATGCCGTGTGCCTATGTTAAATTAGATGAAGATTATAAAGGATGAGTAAGGGAATTTGCACTCATTAACCACTATGCTATATGAAAATGTTCTGCTTTGCAGCATATGGGTGGTTTCATTCCCTGTAAGTCATATATGAAAGAAACATTTACCAGCATCTAACATATGAGGCAATAAGCTCAGAGAGGTTAAGTAAGACACAATCATTCTGCTTGTCTATTTTAAGTCCGGTCAGTCTGATTCCAAAGACTGTGTTGTTTGAAATAGTACAAGTAGGGGCGCCTGGGTGGCGCAGTCGGTTAAGTCCTGACCAGCCAGGTCATGAGTCACCCTGCGTCCGTGAGTTCGAGCCCAGGCGCAGGCTCTGAGCTGATGAAAACCAGAACTTGGAGCCATTTCCATTCTGTACCCCTCTCTCTCTTCCCTCCCCGTTCGCCTCTCTCCTGTCCCAAAAAATAACAGTAAAACGCTGAAAATTAAAAAAAAAAAAAGAAATAGTACAAGTAGACAGAAATCCCAATGTGTATACTTCTTTTCATATGTGATAACTTGGGCATTTCAGCCAGCATTGGTTCACCTAGTGGTGTAAGTTAACTTACTTTTAGAGATTAACTGCTTTTAGAGAAAGAGTAATTCCTTGAGTAAAAGTAGGTCACAAATGGGAGGATCAATGAATAAAAATGTTACTACCAAGCTGATTTATTTTTATATGTTTATCTGTTTTACTTTGGCATAGCCTGTTAAGATCTTTTATCTCTGTTCTTTTTCTGATTTCTCTTTTGTTGCTTATTAAACAACATTTAATACCAGACTCTAATCTTTTGACAGATTTCACCCCCCAGTGAGTTTATAGGATGAGTCACTTGTGCAGTGAAGTTTTTGAAGTAACTGTTTGGCAATGGGGCAGAATTTCTCTTTGGAGATTTCTGAAAACCCGATATTGAATGTGGTTGGCACCCCTTTCAGAATCTCCAAGAAAAGGAAACCAAATCTTAAGGTAGATTTTGTGCGTCTGTGGTCCTGTGACTGCTAATGAATCACTCTGAGTGCTCTGGACAGACTTGTCCAGCTGTGCTTCCATGGGACCAGGTTGCTCAAGGTGTGGAAATCACAAAAGACTAGCAGAAATAAGATAATTTTGCTTTCATTTATTTTCAAACAATTTGGAGTCATCAAATCTTGAGTATTTCTGCCACTGTGTATGCACATTCACCCTCATTCCAGACGCAGTGATCTGAAAAAGTTAACTCTTCTTTTAGTGGCTCCTAATTTATCTCCCCTAGGACTGACTTTTCTATCTGGTGACTGTGTCCTGTTTCAGAATTTACACTTAGTGCAAAGTGACATGGTGTTATATTTATAAAAAGAGTATGGTGGTCAGAATAGGTAGAGAAATTCTATTTGTGAACTTCCATTCCAGTGTTGCATCCTCTTGTGGTCACTTTTGAGTGGGTGGGCTGTTTTGTCTTGCCATTTCCATACCGGTTATAGGAATGTTCTTCTGAGAAAAAGTTTATTTTCTTTCATCTGATAATATAATAATTGCTTCAAATTACCTCCTTCCTCCCTTTTTCTGCAGATCTGCTGAGCCAGATGGAATTATGGCTGAGCTCTTCCCGGTCTCTTTATCTTGCACATACTCTGACTGATGAAGAAATCTATTTATTGTAGCTTGAATGTCATTGGCCTACCCTTTCCTCTGACCCAGGAGTGAGCTGTCACATGGGCATCTGGTCTACCTCCAAACACTCTGCAGGGACACAGCCTGGCATATTATAAATCGTCTATTGGCATGCTGTCTGCTTGACAGAATAGCAGAGTCGGTTCTGGATACTTGCCTTGGTTTTCCACCAATTTTTGCTCTCAATGAGAGGTTAGGATGATGTCAGTTTTCAAATATTTGAGGAAAACTTGCCATCACCAAGCCCAGTGGTTTAGATGGATTTAATGGAGATTTACAGGTGTCTTTGAATGTGACTTTTGTTAGGAATTTACCTAGCTCAATTTTTCTGTGCATATTAAGTATGAATGTAAATTTAGTTTATCCATATGATAATTTTTTAGCATTATAATCTATAATCATGATTTCAAAAAATCAAAGGGCAAGAGGATTCCTTAGCAGCATTTTAAATCTGCTCACCTAAAAATTAAAATTTTTTTCTTTCAGGAATTTGAACTTGACCTGCAAAGAAATATCTGACATTGCAAAAGTGAAGAAACTTTAGTTCCTTGGCACATAAACAACATCAGTTCCTTTCTGGCCTTGCAGGGTCAGAACTCTGGGCTCCAGGGAAGTGAAACTGTGAGAGAGAGGGTAACTGCTGTGCTGGCAGGCTGTGTGTCCAGAATTAAGCAAACCTAGCATTTTCTGTTGTACTGAAACCCATTCGGTATATTTTAATATTGTGTTTATTTTACTTTCCTGCTTCATGGATTAGGGGTTGCAAATGACTTCAGAAGAAAGTATTTCCCTTAGAATTCACATACTTACCATCTTTTCAACTTGATTTACTAGAAGACTAAATATATAACAGTGATTATTTTAAATGTTACACTTCTTTTTGCCTTAATGACCAATAGTTTATATATTCATTCGCTATTGCTTTGTAAGAAATTACCACAAATTACTGGTTAAAAATAACTCTCAGTTA